TCCCACCCTGCGGTTTATGGCCATCAACCACATCCTCAGTGGCGTACATACCAGGGTCGCAGGGGTCGCGGCTGCGACCGGGCCCGGCCCACCAGGGGGCCCGGCCGCCCCTGCGACCCGGTATGTACCCACAGGGCCAGCCTCTTCTCCTGGGGGGCCCAGGCAGCGGCCACCTCAGGCAACCCCGAGGCTGGCCCTGCTGACCCCAGCGGGCAGGTGGCCGGTCGGGCAGGCGCGCGCGCGAGGGAGCACTCAGTGCTTCCTCTTCAGCTCCCTCGCGCACCGCACTGATGCCGGAGCCGGAAGATGACTTCATCTTCCGGCGCCGGCATCCCTAAGCGGCGCGCGAGGGAGCTGAAGAGGAAGCACTCAGGAGAAAGTGCTCCCTCGCGCGTCCGCCGCCCAGACAGCCCGCCCAGCCACCCAGTGACCTGCCGCCCAGGAGCCCAGCAGCACCACTGGACCCCAGGGAATCCCCCCAGCACTCCAAAAGGTAAGGAGGCTGGGGGGATTAAATTTGAAAAAAAAAATGTGTGTGTTAGTGTATGTGTGTGTGTTAGTGTATGTGTTAGTGTCAGCGTGTGTTAGTGTGTGTGTCAGTGAATGTGTCTGTTATTGGGTGTGTGTCTGCTAGTGAGTGTGTTACTGTGTGTGTCTGTTACTGAGTGTGTTTGATGTCTGTTAGTGAGTGTGTGTTTGTCAGTGAAAGTGTATGTTTTGTAAGTGAGTGCGTATGTATGTCTGTCGCTGAGTGTGTCTCTGTCAGTAAATGTGTGTGTCTGTTAGCTAGTGTGTATGCGTCTGTTCGTGAGAGTGTGTGTGTGTGTGTGTGTCTTCAGCATTTACCTTTCTCCAGCGTCGGACTCCCCAGTGTCTGCCACTCAGCTCCGAAATGCACATGCGCGGCAAGAGGCGCGCGCGCGCATTTAAACCGCCCATAGGAAAGCATTACTCAATGCTTTCCTATGGACGTTCAGTGTCTTCTCACTGTGATTTTCACAGTGAGAATCGCAGAAGCTCCTCTAGCAACTGTCAATGAGACAGCCACCAGAGGCTGGATTAACCCTCAGTGAAACATAGCCGTTTCTCTGAAACGGCTATGTTTTCAGCTGCAGGGTTAAAACTAGAGGGACCTGGCACCCAGACCACTTCATTGAGCTGATGTGATCTGGGTGTCTGTAGTGGTCCATTAAGTGTGTGTGCATACCGCGGTCGCGGGGTCGCAGCCCTGCGACCAGTTGCCCGCCACCATGTGCTGCGACCCCGACCCGTGGGAGGGCCCACGGATCAATTTTTTGCACCGGGGCCCCATGGGTCATGTGTACGCCACTGCACATCCTACCTTTGCTACATGGAGGAAACCAAATTACTCTTACAAATAGAAGCTTTTTGGATCCATCATTTGGACACAGTTGGAACAAAAGGACTTTAAATGAATGCATCACTTATTCTATTTTCCTGCAAGATTTAGGATAGTGTTGTTTGATTTAGCTTAATACCTTATTATGCATTATTTGTTTTTAATTCTATTATTATTGTTGAATTCAGCATTATTTAGGCATATATTGTATATGTGCAAATGTGTTATCAGATCAGAACTAAGAAACCGTATTTTCTAAAGATTGACGTTTTTTCTAATTTAGAATTACACTCATATATTGGTTAGTATGGGTACTGCATCTGTGGAAACATGTTTACACCATTGGGGACTTTATGTAAAGGTAATACACTGGTGTTTCCTTATTAATATGTTGCAGACTCTGGGATTCCCTGTCACCCTCACGATTTTGTTGTAGTGTAGTCACAGCTTTTTACTAGCTTTTGACTGATTATTTTTTATTTGGTGACAATTTCACTAGGGATGAACACCTCAGCCTGCCATTAACCTTTTCATTTAGCACATCCTCCATATTTATTTAATTTTATGCACTGGAGATTAGGCAATAACTTTTTTTTGTTGATTCATCATCTAGCAACCACATATGCAGTATAAGGCTGCTACACGTCATCATGTTTCTCACACTGGTCACATGTCCCGCTTGTGCACTTCTGGGTTTAGATGGGATCTAGAGCCAACCGCACTGGATTGGTAAGTTTCTTTTCACTGTTAGCTATTTATTAGTGTACGCATCACTGTATTATTGATATTGAAAAGGACACGAACGGGTCGATCATGGCAGGTATACATGTTTGCGTTTGAATAAATATCACTATTATGGAAGACCTTTGTGTGCAATATATATATGTACAGTCATGGGGAAAAGAAAGTACACCTTCTTAGAATTTTATGGTTTTTACATATAAGGACATAATAAAATTTTTACCTTTTCCTTAGCAGGTCTTAATTAGTTAAATACAACCTCAGATGAACAACAACACTACATTACATATTACACTGTGTTATGATTTATTTAACAAAAATAAATTTAAAATGGAGAAGCTATGTGTGAAAAGCCAAGTACACTCTTACTGCTTCCATAGGACTTAAGAGGCTAAGTAGCAGACAGGTGCTGTTAACCCCTTAAGGACGGAGCCAAATGTACACATTGTGAACGAAACAAAATGTAAACAAAACCTGGCATTTGCGCTACATGTCTGTCCAACCGTAATTCACCTCTTTCATATTAAATGCACCCACCCTTATTAAATATAATTTTATTCAGGGGAAACAGGGATTTCATTTAATATCAAATATTTAGCTATGAAACATAATTTAATATGAAAAAAATGGAAGAAAATAAGAATTTTTTAAAAATTTTTTAGTTCTACATGACATTTTATTCAGGGGAAACAGGGCTTTCATTTAATATCAAATATTTAGCCATGAAACATAATTTAATATGAAAAAAATGGGATAAAATAAGTATTTTTAAAAAATATTTTTAGTTCTACATGACATTTTAACTGTCAATGTCATAATACTGTTTGCTTTTACTGCAATAAAATACACATATTTGTATTCAGCAAAGTCTCACGTGTAAAACAGTACCCCCTATGTACATGTTTTATGGCATTTTGGGAAGTTACAGGGTCAAATATAGCACGTTACATTTGAAATTGAAATTCGCCAGATTGGTTACGTTGCCTTTGAGACTGTATAGTAGCCCAGGAATGAAATTTACACCCATAATGGCATACCATTTGCAATAGTAGACAACCCAAGGTATTGCAAATGGGGTATGTCCAGTCTTTTTTAGTAGCCATTTGGTCACAAACACTGTCCAAAGTTAGCATTAGTATTTGTTTGTGTGTGAAAAATGCAAAAAAATGCCAATTTTGGCCAGTGTTTGTGACTACTAAAAAAGACTGGACATACCCAGTTTGCAATACCTTGGGTTGTCTACTATTGCAAATGGTATGCCATTATATGGGTAATTTTCATTCTTGGGCTACCATAGGGTCTCAAAGGCAACGTAACCAATCTGGCGAATTTTAATGTGAAAAAAATGAAACACAAGCCTTATATTTGACGCTGTAACTTTTGAAAACACCATCAAACCTGTACATGAGGGGTATTGTTGAATTCGCTGAACACAAATATTTGTGTTTCAAAACAGTAAAAAATATTGCAGCAATAATATCGTCCGTGTAAGTGCTGTTGTGCATGAAAAATGCAAAAAACTTCACTTTTACTGGCGATATCATCGTTGTAATACATTTTACTGTTTTAAAACACTAATATTTGTGTTCAGCAAAGTCTGCCGAGTAGAACAGTACCCCCCATGTACAGATTTTATGGTGTCTTGGAAAGTTATAGGGTTAAATATAGTGCTAGCAAATTAAATTCCCTTTACTTTCGGCATGGGTTGTAAGGCAGGTCCCGCTAATTGTAATTAATTAAGATACCTAATTATGTAAAAATATTACATAAATATATATGTAGAATTAATATATGTATATATATATACGTATGTGAATATATATCTATATATAATTTTTTAAAATATTTGTATTTATATATAGGTATATATAGTGATATATACGTATATATTTATGTATATAGATATATATTATTTCGTTCTACATGTATTTTGATATATATATATATTAATATCACAATACAGTTAGAACGAAATAACACACATCTATATATATTTTAATTATTTTTTAATTTTTTAATTTTATTTTTTAACGTATTTACATATTAAATTTTTTTATATTATATATAAATATATATATATATATATATAATTATATATTTAGTCATTATCAGTCTACGTGTAATTTGATATTAATATATATAATTATATATATATTAATAGTAAAATACACCTAGACAGTGTATGTGTTTGTATGTATATGTGTATGTATGTATATATATATATATATATATATATATATATATATTTATATACTTAGATCATATATATATATATATATATATATACAATATATATATATGCTATAAGTATATATGTATTTTTTTACACTTTTTAACTTATTTTAATTTTATTTAATTTTATTTCCAGCCAGCAGGGGGACCACCTGTCATTACAGGCAGTCCCCCTGCTGGCAATGCAGGAGGCAGCTATCCCGGCCATGAGATTGTGAGGTCCTCGCAAGGACCTCACTCTCACATGGCGGGGGGGCTGCCAGGGAGTCCCCCCAACCGCGATCGCCGGCGACCGGGTAAGTAAAGAAAGACCGGAGGGCGTACTGTTACGCCCGGTGGCGTTTAGAGCCGCCTAAAATAGGGCGTAATAGTATGCCCTCCGGTCTTAAGGGGTTAACCAAATGTCCTTGATTCACTCATCTTCATCCAGTGTGACTACCTTTATAAAAGCCAATGTTTTGACAGTTTGGTGGTCTAGAGCATTCAGGTGTGTGTTAACACAATGCCAAGAAAGAAAGACATCAGCAATGATCTTAGAGAAGCAATTGTTGCTGCCCATCAAACTAGCAAGGATTATAAGGTCATTTCCAAACAATTTAAAGTCCATCATTCTACAGTGAGAACGATTATTCAAAAGTGGAAAACATTCAAGACAGTTGCCAATCTTCTCAAGAGTGGACATCCCAGCAAATTTACCTCCAGGTCAGATTGTGCAATGATAGAGTAACATCTCAGACTCAATAGGCTTCATTTAGCATGTTAAATGTTAAAGTTCATGACAGTACAATTAGAAAAAGACTGAACAAGTATGGTTTGTTTGGTAGGGTTGCCAGAATAAAGTTTCTTCTCTCTAAAAAGAACATGGCAGCACAGCTTAGGTTTGCAAAGTTGCATCTGGACAAATCACAAGACTTCTGGAACAATGTCCTATGGACAGACAAGACCAAAGTGGAGATGTTCGGACATAATGCACAGCGCCATATTTGGCAAAAACTGAACACCGGTATCAGCACAAACACCTCATATCAACTGTCAAGCATGGTGATCGAGTGTGATGATTTGGGCTTGTTTTGTAGCCACAGGACTTGGGAAACTTGCAGTCATTGAGTCGACTATGAACTCCTCTGTATACCAAAGTATTCTACAGTCAAATGTGAGGCCATCTGTCTGACACCTAAAGTTTCAAAATTGGGTCATGCAACCGGAAAATGATCCCAGGCACACCAGCAGGTCTAACACAGAACGCCTGAAAAAGAAAAGAATCGAGGTGTTGCAAAGGCTGTGTTAATTTTTGTTAAATAAATCATGATACGGTGTCAAGTGTTGTTGTTCATCTGAAGCATTTACCTAATTTTAAGACCTGCTAAGGAACAGAGGATTGTTATTATGTCCTGATATATGTAAAACCATAGAATTCAAAGAAGGTGTACTTTCTTTTTCCCAAGACTGTAAATGTATGTATATAATACTTTTTGGAACATCTGTCACGGATGGTATTAGCATTGTTTTTTATATTACTTATGCAAAAAAAAAATTTTTACTTACATTTTGTCTGCATCCCGATTTTTTTGTCTTTATGCTGTAACATTGCAGCCATTTCTGAAGCACCATTACACCTACTATGCCACCAATATCTCACAGAAGGGTTGTAGGAATCTTGTGTGACCACGTCCTGCTATAGCCCAGCCAGAGCTGATAACGAAGAAGTAAAATTCTTCATCACTTCAGCAGTTGCAAAGGAGTGAATAGGATGCAGCGAATAATCCCTTTTTGTAAAACCCTTTGACAAAATATGTACTGACTACAACCACTTCCAATAGCTGCAGTGGATATGGTTCTTAGAGTGTGATTTACAAACACACTTGTTCTCAGTCACATAGAGCTTCTACTGTACTCCTAGATTGTCTTTTTAGAAACACCAGGATTCAATTCCTCTAGCCCAGTCATAGGCATCCTTTGGCAGTTACAGCCATAATGCAGGCAAATCATCAAGGGGGGTGTAGTTCACAACACCTGGAGTGCTTACCCCTACTCTAGCACTGGAAAGTATATCAGCCCCACATTCACAAAAGTAAATGGCTACATGCAGCTAATTTTATTAGAAATAGTGAGTTGCCTTTTAAATGAGTGCTTATTGAACTGCACACTTAATGGCTATATTTTTCTCCATACTTGTGTTCCTCCCCCCATATCTTTTGTGACCATATCCCCCTCCTTCCTACATTTATGTCTTTCTACTCATATCCCCCTTATCCCACTCAAATCCCTCTCTCCACATTCTCTTCTTACCCTACCTGTCTCTCCCCATAGCCTCTCTTTCTCTGCATGTGTCCATGTCCTCAATTTCTTCCTTTGTGTTCCTCTATCTATATTCCCTTTGTTCCACACTTGTATCACACTCCCAATATCCACCTCCTTTACACACTTGTGTCCTTCTCCCCATACCCTCCTCTCCACTTGTGCCCCTCTCCATATATCCCTTCTACACCCATTTGTGTTCCTCTTACAATATCCTCCTTTCACCACTTCTCTCCTTCTCCTCATATCCCCCTTCCACCACTCATATCCCACTTCCCCCATTTGTACCCCTCTCCTTATATCCCCCATTTGTGTCCCTTTCACCATACCCACTTCCCCCCACGCGTGTCTCTCTCCCTATATCCTCCACTTGCCCAAAATGTGTCCCTCTCCTTATATCAACCATCTATCCCATACATGGCCCTCTCCCCATGGCGTGTTTCCCTTTTTCCCTTTTCCATGCATATTCCTCTTGCCATATCCCTCTTTTCCCCTACTTTTAAAATTGAAATCCTGTTTCTGTATTTCTGTGTATGTATGTTTCTGTGTTTCTGTATTTGTAAATCTGTGAACATTTAATTGCAAAGATAAAATATGAAAGATGAGGTAAGTGTGTGAGGTAGATTGAAAATAAATGTATGATAACCTTAAATAAATAAATAAAAATATTGGCAAATGATCAACTATATGGCAATAATATTGCTGAATTTCAATATAGTGAAATATGACTGTGTTTTGTCCTTGTAGGCGCTCCAGGGCTCCAAAGCAATAGGCAACCAGTAACCAGCACTTGGCAGTCAAACAGTTTGACTACTTAGCCTGGAAGGGGGCCAGAGTATTCCTGGCACTATAACCACTGAAGTAAGCTGTTCTAGTGGTGATGGTGCTTGGAATGTTTGCATTCCTTAAAAGTCTCTCTTGCAACCTGTATTACTATGTAACATTTGTAAGCGACCGAATACAACAAAAAGAACATATAAAAACTTGTTCAATTTTTGTATTGAAAACCAACTAAAATAGTTTCTGTATCTATGAGACCTCTATAAGAATATTTTTGTTGTTGTCTTTGTTTCTATACATGTGCATTATTTGCAAGCAGTATTTTGGTATGCTGCTGTCCCTACACAGGGAATATTGTTGGAAGTGCAACAAAAGAACCTATTTTTCACTCACAATCAATTAAACAGAACCTCATTGGAACTTATAAATAGCAATTTAGAGAATGCTTGGATATTTCTGGTTTGAAGGGATAAAAAAAAAAACATTGCAAACCAGGATCTTTTAGCTAATCAATTATTGTGCTCTGATGCCGTCAGTGCATTTTCCAAGTGATCAGCTATATAGATTTGAATAAAGATGAAAATACAGTATCGTGTAGAAAGTTGCATACTGATCGTATCAAACGAGAACTATGGATCACTAACTCATATTCAGAACTATAATACAACATGGAAGCCAGGAGCCATGTTGTTCACTTATACTATAATGTAGAGGTGAAACAAAGTTCATTTTTAAAACATGCACCTTACGAACACCAATTCCAAAACCATTAATTTGGGGAGATCATCTCAGACATGAGGATATACCAAACAGATTTGTTTATAAAGTGTCTGAAGATTCAAGTCAAGGAATGTATTTACTTACGGTGGCAATAAAACCATAAAGTGCAAATTGAAAGAGACTGACCTATGCCAGTGAGGGACTTGGCAATCACCATGACTAAAGAAAGAGGAGTGGTTTTTCATAGCAAGTGGCAACGAATGAATCTTAACTTCACATTTAGTGGGTAAAGTATTAAATTGACTTTCTATCCATAAAGAGTTAGAGCATATTTAAGACTCCCTCTAAAATGTAAGCTTGTTTGAGCAGGGCCCTAAGCACTCTCTGTTCCCGTCTGTCCAGCTCGTCTTGTTGCAAATACATGTCTGCTAGTCCACCTATTGTACAGCGCTATGGAATTTGTTGGCGCTTTATAAATAATAATATAAAGTTAAATTCAAAATTGGATTAAAGAGATTCTCCTAACTGCAGTGCAGTTTCTAATTCCAATTTTGCCATAATTAGAGCAATAAAAGGACATAATCTCATGATTTAGTCGGCCGACCGGTCAGACCTTTATTTGAATGACGTTCCAGAACTACCGAAGGGATCTGAGTGATGTTTTGGCAAAGGTTTTAGCGGCTGTCCACTATCCATTAATCATCTTATTTGCCATAAAGCACCATGGATGAAAGTTAGTATCACAAATTCGCTATTGCACATTCTGTTTAAAACGTGATCCAGTTACATTTCAGCTCAGAGTTCAGGAATTCCAAAAATTACCCAATCTGCCCAAATTGACGCAACATAATGAAACAAATCTCCAAGTCTAGTCTTGGCCTAAAACTTTAAATTCCTTACAATACATGATTTAACAAATATGACTGAAAGTGGTTAGTTATCTTCTGTAAAAACCAAGGTTCATATCAAATCAACCATACTGTTTTTTGTTTTTTTTTAAATTGTAATATATGAACATTCTTTACTAACTTTTTGATAATGACAGATTAAAAAGCAAGATTTTATTTTTTCCCCCCAAGTCAATCACAACACGCTGAACTTTATTTTTTTAGGATGTTTTATTTCCTTTTCTTAAAAATATGTATTTCATCTTTTGCGTGTTTATTTCACTGGATCATAAGTAATAGGCAGTTAAAGACACCGTGAGGGTCGCCAGAACTGTTGGGGTCTACATTGGCGAGCAGGAGTCGTTCAAATTTAAATGTGGCGCCCTGTTTGTACGTATACATTCTAACACTTTTTAAAATATTTTTAAACATCTAAAATTACTGATTGATACAATGTTAGCACTTAATAAATATACAAACTTAAGTCCTAGCACTTGCACATGGTTTGTAATCTAAATTCAAAGTTATTGCACAGGATAAGACATTATATTTCAGACTAAGCAGTTTGTTCAATTATGGACTTGAGTTAGTTTTAAGCACAGATTTCAAGAAATGAGTTCACGACCTTCAAAATACGTAAGTATATCAAAGGCATATATGAATACATGCATGCAATTGGTCAGCAACCATTAGGGACATACCTTTATATGTCAACAGGTCAATACACTTTAAAATGTAGGTCAGACAGACATAATAGTTAAGATATTCATTTAAGACCATAAAACAATGTGTGTTCTGTGCTCGGCCTTCTAGTTCAGTATAACCTTGTTCGTTCTTGGCCAGAAGAACTAGCGCCACATAATAAAAGTCTCTGCAATCAAAGATTTATGAAGATTTTCAGAAAACGTCTTTAACAAAATATTCTTGATTCTCATTCTATAACACAATATTGATGGGGAAAAAAAAAACCCAATACAACAATGTTTAATTAGTAGGAACTGAAGGGTGTATTGTAAAGACTCAAGCAACCATACGTACATAACATAAACATCCACATGTCTTTATTACATAACATCTTATCTCCATGTATGTTTAAAGCATTTTACTGAAACATGATGTACATTTTTGATGGGTAGTTGTGGTATGTGTGTGCACTACTGTTGAGCAAAAAAACAATAAAACAGAGTATGAAGTGGTAGTAGAGCGTTTGAAGACTTGTATGTCCTGATAAAAAGAAGATAATGGTCAATTTGTACTTGCAACAACATATCCTAGCGCACTACAGTGAGGGAATTATCTCATTCTCACTGTACATTCGCACACTTTTGCTCTGTAGCTGAATATTAGATACGCTATGTGGCATTTAATGTTTAGATTTAGACACATTTATATGGCAAATAACCTACTATGGTATTAGTGCATTTCTTTCTTTTTTATCAGAAAATGAATGGCATTGTAGCAATTGTAAATTGTTCCATAAACATGCTTCATTTTCTGTTTATATTCTCCATTTGTAAGGTTTTTTTTTGTTTTTTAAGTAAATTTAAACAATTTCACCTACTCAGTATTTTATTGCCTGAAGAAATTTCCATTTTGGAACTGAAACGTTGTTGACATTTTTCATTTGTGATGGAATATATATATATATATATATATATATATACACACACACACACACACACACACACACACTGATTCAATGTATCAGTGTACTAATGATGCAGATTTTTATTTACTAGAGAGGATCGTTACCATTACATGTATTGTTCAATTGTAACAACTCTATTTGTGCTACTGTACCTTATTCTATTAAACAATTGGATTTACCTTTTGTAATCACAAAGTAATCGTCAAAGCTCAGACATTGCAACTATCTCCCGTGGTGGTAAGTAATTTAAAATTTAGGGATATGTTTAATATGTGGTGACCCATGATAATTACAAAAAATATATATAGGCTTGATACACAGTGACACAGTGCAGTAGTCAAGCTCTTCGGAATCACATGCAGTTTACTTGATATAACAGATATCATTGGCTTGCTCCACGTTATGTCACAAATGCATGTGATTGGCTCAAACTAGCCATGGCCAAGGTCTTCTATAAACTGGATATATGAAAGAAGAAAAATGGAAACAGATCTCCACAATGGTAAATATAATACAGCTTATAGCATATCCGCGCCCATTTTTCATAACAGTGCAAACTGTACCTCATCTTTCTTGAATGTACCTTTATTCTGGTTTATCGGTGTGTTATTTAAGTTATGGGCTGCTGATTTAATTTTCTAAACTCCACAATCACTCGTGTAAGCTGTTTGCACGTCTCGAGTCGCTTTGTTTTTTTTAATTTTATCCATATGTATAGTTCTGGGTATTGTTTTGGTTCTTTTTATTGTCATGTACTGTGAAAATGATCAATAAATATTATACAAAAAAAATACAAGGTAAATCTCCCACGAGGCTTTGCTTTAGGCCTACTAATGCATCAATGGTGGCAACAGATATGCAAGTCATACTATAGTGGGCTGATTATCTCGTTAATATATTGCAGACACAGCTGGCCAAAAATACTTAAAAGAAAAGGAAATTCCCACAGAAATCAATTAAGATTTTTTTCAGTAGTGCGCGAATATGAACCTTTGATTAAGAACTCTCTTTGCCTTAACTCTGAATAGTTTGAATAATCTTCCAACTTTTAATGATTCTTGACATGTTCTTCATTTATTGGTGACTGAGCCACATGGGGGCAGAGTCCAAAACAGATAAGGGCTTATTTGCCATACAATGGCCGTGAGATCGACCAGGGTGACTAAAAAATCTCAAACTTAACTTCACCGTGTTGACCTATCTTGCCCTTCGGTTCTCAACGCACCACAACATGCCCTTTAGTAAATAAAGCCCAACAAGTGCAGAAGCTAGCTGGTGTTGGCTGATATAAGCAATATAGATGCACAAGTGATACAATCCAAAAGAGTGGATTGCTCACTAAAACAAAAACGATAACAGTAAAGATTTGCGTGCATTATCTTTACTGGAGCTTCTGGCAATAAAAACATATGTAGATATATTATTAAAAATTACTTGAACATGCCCTTTCTACTATACAGCCCATTACGTGCTAGTATACTGTCAACTGTATGTACCACCCAGCAGGTCAGTATCCAGTGGTTTTCTAGGGCACCAAGGCAAAAATCACAAAACATTTAGGAAAAGGCTCATTCACAAAATGTGTATGGCAGAACAATCTCACACACAGTGTACTTGGTACTGCTTTATTTAAACTATGAGCAATGAGGACTCTGACCTGGTTGGACCTCTTATCTCACGGGAATTGCTCAGTAAGTAGTCTTCCGTGGTTTGTATTTGATATGTGGTCCTAATTGAAACGCTGGACTGTAAACAAAATAAAATAAGTCTCACTGCACATATGAGATGTTGGGGGGGAGGGGAGGGACTATAGAAATATAGCATTTATTTTATAAATTTCCTGCTGATTTTTCTAGCACAATATAAAGGTCAGATTGCAATACTTCAATTCAAGGGACCTTGTCATCCACACATACAGTACACAAATCCACTTTGGGTCACTACTTAAAAAGTCATAATCAGGCGGTGTCCGGTAACTACCCAACTATTGCAAAACTACAACTCCCATGATGCTTTTTTTTGGTAGCATGGGAGATGTAGTTATACAGCAGCATGTCCACATACTAGACATAGAAATGGCTAATCATGGTAGCAAAAACATATTTTTACGACAGAGCAAGCAGAGAGATTGTAAAGCAAGAATACCAATTTGGAAGTCCCAAAGTGTCAAACTACAACTCTCAAGACACTTAACCAGAGCATTGCAATAGTTATTAATGAATGTAAAACAGTAGGCTAGCTAGTTCTCTATCAAAGATATTTAGCATTGATATATTGATTGACGGCTGCAGTCAGCATTCTAAAAACTGGAAGTCGCACGGAAATCCCTTAGTAATTGTTTGCAATGTTTGATTCCATGCATAATAATGCACACCTACAACTTAATGAGAAAGAAGGGGGAAGCCATAAACTTTAATTAAGTGCCCAAGAGTCAAGGACATCAACGGCAATATTAAAACAGATAACAAAGCATTTTTTGCTGATACCCACAGTCATTCACAAGATGCACAGATGTCAAATGAACGCTTCCTATAAAAATTCCTTTGTTCTTCAATATGCAGTGCCAAGCATTTCTTAAACTGGTGGAAAGGTTAGTTCCATTCAAATAAATGGGACTAAATATTCTTAGCAACTTGCTATATGCTTTTCATAGCACATTAAAGAGCACCATCTGCCGCTGATGTATCATTAACTTTCTGAATATTTACATAGCAATAAATTTCTTCCCCTCCCAGTTTGCTTCATTAACACTGATTTTCTTGTACTGGCATTTTATTTTTAAACTAGCATATGTTTATTTTATACTCCTCTATTTCTTCCCCAGGTCAGAAGTGTCTTGTGTGCTTAATTCCAGAGTCGAAAAGTATTATGTTCTAAAGTCAAATGCCAACATCTTCATATCTTGTGATGAAAGTAATAAACATGTTTTGTCTTTCTGCTGTAGAACATCGCAATTAGTTTATTATAGAGGGAAATGGGCTGTGATCTCAAAGCAGTCAATCGACAGACATACTTGCATGCTCACACACACACACATAAATTCTTTCGAAATATAATGTACATTCAGCTGTGTTTCCTGATCACTGTGGTGTCTGATTACTATTAACTGCAGTCTTCCATATGAGCTGCGAGACCCAGGCAGGACTGCTACTTCATTTCTACCAGATATAGCCACCATCGTCTCCTGTCTCTCCTTCTTCTTCCTCTGCCTCTTCACCGGCATCCTCAGTTTCTTTTTCCTCTTCGTCTTCCCAGCCAACGCCACTTCCGAAATCCCCAGAAAATCCAACCATGTCATCTGGCAAAAGCAATCGAAAGGAAAGAAGAGTGATATAGTTCATTTAATTTTAGAACTATTCACGTTTGTGACTTTTATTGCTAGTTACATTTTTATGGTGAGATACACCATCACTATAACTCTCATTATAGTGACAAAGTTGTTTAGAGGATCTATCAATCACAAAATGTATGGGTGGCATGG